TCCATTTTGTATTTGTAAAGCATCTGTAACCAATTCCCTACGTTAAATCCCTTTCTGGGGACGCCTGGGTGGCTCAGTTGGTTAAGCAGCTGCCTTCGGCTCAGGTCATGATCCCAGTGTCCTGGGATCGAGTCCCACATCGGGCTCCTTGCTCGTCAGGGAGCCTGCTTCTCCCTCTGCCTCTGCCTGCCATTCTGTCTGCCTGTGCTCGCTCTCTCTCTGACAAATAAATAAATAAAATCTTTAAAAAAAAAAAAAAAAAATCCCTTTCTGCTTGAAAATCTGGAGTTGTTTTTGTTTCCACAATAGACACTCACTGAATCATCACTGAAGACAGGGGATGACTGAGATTGCTAATTTCCTTTGGAAGGACCAAGAGTACTTGTTACATCAGATTACATCATCACTGTTTCTACCTCACACAATGACTGATAAAGAGACCATTTTAGAATAAAAGTACCAGTTTTCCACTTTCTTGTTCACATATATTTGCTTTATTAATATATTAATTATCTTTATAGTTTCTTTGCAGGAAACTTTAAAACCATTTGTTCATTTTTGAAGACTGAATTTAGCTAATAATAGTTACTATACTCTATAAACCTCTGAATTTGGCAGCAAACCTAAAAAGCTGAAGGCTAATGATAAGTGAGGCACTGGAAGTACCAATGTCAATCCACCAGTGTTAAAAAATTTCTACTCTTCTGCTGAAAATGGCTGACTAGCACAGGGGCTGCATAAGGGGCTAGGGTCAATCCACACAGTATTTTTAAAGCTCAATTTCCTTCTTTTATCACATGAAAAACAAGGTAAATACAAGTTCCAATATTTCCCCCTCAATCAATGGCCCTCCTGTAAATCCTACTTTGACAGCCCATTATTTCCCAAAGTTTGTTTTTACCACTACAAAAGATGGGGGGAGGGGAATTTAACGTTCAAATGTTTGCAAAATATATGATTAAACAAATTCCAAGGTCCCCAATTTTTATATATTAAAGTGTCCATTTTGAAGAGGACACAATCAGAATCTATAAGTTCTTTTAACACTTAATCTTTTTATACAGCTCCTTTTTTCAAGAAGACTCTCACTAAATTAGTGTTTCTTTCTTTCTAAAAAGATTTTATTTATTTATTTATTTATTTATTTGTTTGTTTGTTTGTTTGAGGGAGAGAGAGAGAGAAGCAGACTCTCCACTGAGCAGGGAGACTGACCCAGGGCTTAATCCCAGGACCCTAGGACCATGACCTGAGCTGAAGGCAGACACTTAACCGACTAAGCCACCCAGGCACCCCAAGATTAGTGTTTCAAAACTTACTTTGGAAAATGCTGGCCTTGAACCAGTAGTTTCTGAAATATAATGAAGATTCAAGGCAGAAGAAAACCACTTAAAGAAACCTAACCGGTCATATGCCATAGGTAAGGCAAGGTTTTTCAGGGCCAAGCTTTCAAGGAGGGAACATTCTAAAATATAATACTAATCACGTGTTCTTTTTGGTCCAATAAATGCTTTCTGAATGGCATTTATTAAGGTATGGTAGGTATTACATCTCAGATAGTCTGTGAACTAAAGAGATAAATCTGAATATAACGCTTAGAAGAGCTCCATGTACAAAGTGGGGGTTCAAATATTATGAGATGATTATACATATATATTCTACATGCAGTTGACCCTTGAACAAGACAGGTTTGCACTATGTGGATTTTTTAAGTTTACTGCCCCAGCATGGAGTTTTTTTCAGTAAACACAATACTTTAAATGTGTCTTCTCTTTCCTTGTAGGAGAGAGTTATTTTCATAATAATGCTTTTATTTCTAGCTTACTTTATTGTAAGAATATAGTATATAATATATATAACATTCAAAATATGTGTTAATTGACTGTTTATATTACCAGGAAGGCTTCCAATCAAGTTAAGTTTTTGGGGAGTCAAAAGTTATACATGGGTTTAACTT